CTTAACTTTTTTTTTGGGTTGAAAAAAAGTAAATGGGCCGCCTAGCTTCCCGTTTTATCCACTATCAGCATATCCTCGGCTTCTTTAGGGCATTCTTCCAGAAAATTGGAATCTTCATGGTGTTTCCACATCTGCTTGGCGACGAAATCGGCAACTCGATTGGCCTCTCTAGGTACGTGATGCAGTTCTACAAGCCAGTTCTTCTTAAGCATTTTCTCAATGTGTTGCAGAATGGTAAATTTCATGTGTGTGCTTGATCTATTCTTTATTAGATTGATAGCTTCACTATTGTCTGTTTCTAAAATCACGCTCCTCTCTCCCCTCAACCAAGCGATTCGTAATCCCTCATGGATTCCCCATAAATCTGCTTCTAAAATAGAACAGATCCCTATCTTTTTCCCAAAACCCCACCACCAATTACCATTGTAGTCCCTTGCAACAACCCCACACATAACTTCTCCATTGATCTGTCTTTTGGTTTCATCTGTGTTTATTTTGCAGTAATTGATTGTTGGTTTTTGCCATTTGCATCGATCATTATCTCTAATATGTATACTTCTAGCATTTGTAGTCTCAAAATTCTGTAAATCTTGGATCAGTCTACTAGCTTGTTGGATAATCGAATCCCTTTCAATCATCTCAGGATCGAAAATCATTTGATTTCTTCTCTTCCATATGTACCAGATTACTGAGCTGAAAAAACTTGGCCAATCCGCGATTCTTGGCGATGGGGACTGAGTTTCTTCAAGGTTTTCAATGATCCAGTCCTTGAGGCTACAGTTCAGAAACCTGTCTATCTTCTGGGGATCGATCAGGCCAGTCCATATTGCCATTGAATTAGGGCAGTACCTTAGCAAGTGATTATTATCTTCAACTTCATAATTGCACATAGGGCAACTTGCATCCATAGTCATATCTCTTCGAGCTCTTTCCAAGTTAGTCAAAATTCTATTTCTTCCAATTAGCCATAGGAAAGTTTTGACTCTGGGAATGTTTTTGTGCTTTGCTATGATGCCCCAAATCTTATCTTCCATATCATTATTAATATTTGCAATCCACTTATATGCAGATTTAACTGTGAATACCCTATTCTCCGAGGGAATCCATCCTAGGGAGTCTTCAATGTTCTCATCCACTGGAGGGGGGTGGCTTTTAGCATATTAATGGCTTGAGACTGCAGCAACAATGTAAGTTTGTTCTAATCCCAGTTTCCATTTTGGTTAATCAATTCCTTTACTTTTGACTTGTCATTTTCCACCTCCAACGGTTGGTTGCAAAATCTGGACAGAGGACCATTATGATCAAGCCATATGTCATGCCAGAAGCTAATATGATTACCATTTTCAACATTCCAACAAATTTTCTGCTTGAATTTAGTCCACAATGAGCATATGTAATTCCATAAAGGTGATCATCCCCTTTTTTTGAAGCTCTTCAGGTAGAATTTCTTTCATTTTGTATTTGCTTCTCATTACCTGCACCCATAAAAGATCAGTTCGGTTAGTAAGTTTGTAAGCTATTTTAAAAATAAAGACCTCATTTTGGAATCTAAGGTTTTTTAATCCTTGACCCCCTCATTTAATAGGTTTACAAAGATTGTCCCAGTTCACAAGGTGTACTCCCTTTTGCTCATTCAAGTTTCCCCAAATGAAATTTCTTGTAAGTCTTTCAAGCTCATTACAAGTTCCTTTGGGGATTAAAATTGATTGCATGGTTTATGCAGGGATCGAGTTGAGAACAACCTTGGCAAGAATGATTCTTCCAGCTAGTGATAAAGAGTTAGCTTTCCACCCTGTCAATTTGTCCTTCACTCTTTGGTTGATGTTGTTGTATGTTCGTTTATTAATTCTGTTGTGCAGCAGGGGAACTCCCAGGTAATTTCCAAGGTTCTCAATCTCCTTGATGCCATCAAATTAGAAATAATGGTTCTGGTCTGGGCATTGACATTTTTGGAGTAGTATATATTAGATTTCTCGAGGCTAACTTTCTGTCTCGAGGTATTGCAGAATTTGTTGAGTGCGTTCTGGATAATTCCAATTTAAGTGTTGTTAACTTCCGCAAATAATATGAGGTCATCTGCAAAAAAAAGGTGAGATATGTCAGGTCTATTTCTAGATAATTTAATAGGTTTCCACCTCCCTTGATTTACTATTAAAGCAATCTCTTGAGCTAATCTTTCCATTCAGATGACAAAGAGATAAGGTGAAAGAGGGTCTCCTTGTCTAATACCCCTGGAAGGCTGAAAGGGTTCAGTAAGTTCCCCATTCCAATTAATTTGAATAATACTAGAAGTAATGCAGTTCATAATTGCCATAATAATTTTATTTGGTAGCCTCATCCTTTCGATGTTGCCTTTAATAAAAGGCCACTATAATCTGTCATAAGTTTTTTCAAGGTCTAGTTTGATGGCCAACCACCCTATTTTACCTTTCTTCTTCTTCATCGAATGGATCACTTCTTGATCAAGGATAATATTGTCAGTAATAACCCTGCCCGGGATAAAACTAGTTTGACTGTTGGAAATCATAGTAGGGAGAATAGGCTTAAGACGGTTGGCAATAACTTTAGTAATTATTTTATAGATCACTTGGCAAAGACTTATAGGTATAAACTGGTTTATTCTCTCAGGCTTAGGCACCTTAGGGAGTAAAACAAGACTAGTTCTATTTAAGGCTTCCTCAATCTTACCACCATTAAGGCACTTCTTGATAAGAGAACAAACTTTTTCTCCAACTATATCCCAATTCTTTTGAAAGAAATTTGCATGGAATCCATCAATTCGGGGCGCTTTGAGAGGACCCATACTGAAAAGGGCTTCTTTGATCTCATTGTTCTCAAACGGTCTATCAAGCCAATTCCAATGATCCCGAGTTAAGTTAAGAAAAGGCTTATTATTATCAAGAGAATGTCTGATCAAAGGGTCACTAGTGAACAACTTCTCATAATAATCCTTGACATGATTTTTGGGCATATCTTGATCCTCACACCAAGTGTCAGAATTCGTTTTGAGGGTTTTAATCAACTTTCTTTTACCTTTGGTGATCGCATATGAGTGAAAATACTTAGTGTTATTTTCTTCGTGGTTAATCCATTTACATCTAGCCCTTTGAGCCCAAAGTAATTCTTCCTGTCTCAAAATAGTGTCAAGTTCAGTTTTGAGTTCTGACTCAAGGGCTGTCAATTTGGTTGAACTATATCTGCGAAGAGCTTTGTCAATACCTTTCAGTCTAGCAATATTTTTTTTCTTTTGATTGATTCTACCAAAAACCTCACTATTCCAAATTTTAATACTATACTTAAAGTGATTGAGACTGTCTATAAGACCATCTTTCTTAACCCATTCTTCTTTAAGAAAATTCCCAAAGTCAGAATGATCCATCCAAGCAACCAAAAATCTAAAAGGTCTATTAATATTCCCATTGAGGTTATTCATAGTCTGAAGAAGAATGGGACAATGGTCAGACCCAAGTCTATTAAGATGATGAACAATAGTGGTAGGGTAGAGCTCAATCCACTTCAAATTAGTAATGCACCTATCGAGACGTTGCCAATGATTACCTCGACGCCAAGTAAAATCATCCCCTTGGTAACTAACTTCAAGCAATTTATTATTAAATATAAAATCCTGAAAATACTTACTCCCACCTATGTACCGAATACTTCCACTAATTCTCTCTTCAGGTCTAATAATGCAATTGAAATCCCCTTCTAGGATCCAGGGCTCATCATTACTAGGCTTGATATTATCCAGAAAATCCCATAATTTAAATCGAATATTAGGGTTGGGGCTAGCATAAACAACTATAAAATAGTTCCAATCGTTATTATTGAGCCCTCTAAAACGAGTATGAACATACTGATTAGTGACGCTTAAAATCTTCACTTCTACTGAGTTATCCCAAAGCACCCAGATACCACCGCTATGCCCATGCGCTTCAATTCTGAAAGAGTTATTGTAACCCATGTTGTTGACAATACTATCAGCTCTTTTACCACTCGTGTGAGTTTCCATCAAAGCAATAATATTAGGCTTGTGCATAATAACACATTCCTTAAAATTTCTTTTAAAAGAAGGTTTCACAACCCCTTGTGTGTTCCAAAATAAGAAATTCATAGAAATGAAGCTAGGATTGGTTACTATGAGACGAATCCTTTTTCTTCTGAACAGATTCTTGTATATGGCTCTGATCATCATGATCTAATATTTAAATTTGATCGGTTGTAGATGTGTTGTTGTAAGGCGGGGCTAAATTCTTCGAGTTCATAGTATTCTCTTCGATTTATTCTGAAAGAAAAGGAATATTAGGGTTATTAGGACTTTTGGGCTTTCTGACTTTAAGACCTTTCTTTGCAATGATAGAGATAGGATTTGGCTTCTTGTTAAAATTCCATCTAGATTTAGGATTATGATTGTTGTTGTCCTCTTAAATGGTTATAGTTGTGTGTGAGCCATTTCCCCCCTGAACTTTGTGTTTTTTGATTTGGGCGTTATCCTTAGCCATGATCTGAATTCCTCCTATGTTCAGGTCCTTAGGTTGATCTTTATCTTCCATCGTTCCTCCATCAGAAGTGGGACCATCAATAAAATTGGTATTCTTAATTTCAGGGTTGGTGGGGTTATCTCTCATTTGGGTTTGATTAGCTTTTCCTTCTGCCTGGATTAAAATGTATTGGTTTCTCATTTTATCTTTATCCCTCATCCTATTTCTTGTCTGAGTACCTGGAGCATTCTGTTTTGTAGTAGGTTTTGGAGTAGCAGTCCTATTTATATGTTGGTCTTCTCTATTTTTATCGTTGGGACCTTCCTCCAAATGACTTCCATCGAGAGGGGCAAATCTGGAGCCTTGATTAGTCATTTCTTCTGCTTCTCTGTTTTGACTTTGAGTTCTATTGCTTCTTCCTCTTGGTTGAACCACCATCTAAGGGCCAAAAGGGTTATCTTTACTGTTATATGTACTTGATTATTTTTCTATTGTATTGACAGGGTTAATGATCTCTATTTATTTCTCTTCCTGGTTTATTTGGCAGGTTTCTCTAGCATGCCCGTAGGTTCCACATTTGAAGCAAATTTGTTGCAGACCTTCATATTCAATGTTTTGGATAAAGTCATCTATTCCCACGCATAGAATCAGAGGTTTGTTAAGGTCAATAACAACTACAATTCTCGTAAATTTTCTTATTTCTCCAACTTTGGTATTGTAGTCTATTTTGATGACTCTTCCAATCATGTTTGCAATCGTTCTAATAAGAATAGTATTATAATACCTGTAGGGTAAACCAGGTATGCGTATCCAAGCAATAACCTGAGATGGGTGCTTTTCAGAGGTAGTGAAGTTTCTTGACCATGGTTGAACTGTTAGGTAACTTCCATAAATCATCCATGGTACATCTGTAAGAACTCTTGAGTAATCCTCAAGATTTTCAAATTTCACAAGAAAATAGTCATTATCAAGATCAATCAAATTGAAGTTTCCTATAGGTTTCCATAAAGCATAGATCATGCTCATCAACGCTTTGTAACCTATCTTCTTTCCCAACAGTCTAGTGATAATAACCTGTTTCAAGTTTTGATCAATCAAATCATGTATACGATTAGAGAAAGCAATTTTAGGATAGTCGCCAGAAATATCCATGGTAACATCTCCTTCTTGGATGACTAACTCTTTTGCATGCATCTTAACAGGGAGTTCATATTCATCACCAAACCACTTGCATCCATAACAGCATATGAGATCTTTTCGGAACTCTTTGGACGTTTTTTAGCCGCCTCATCATCATCTTGGGATTCATCTTCTATTTGCATGATATTTGATGGCTGACTAGATTCATCATCTTTCGTTAAACTATCTCAATTCTTCACTTTATTAGTGGCTCTCAGTTGTTCTTGTTCTTGCTCGCTCTCTTTGCTCATCTTTTTCTTAAGATAGAATGCACGTGGACGTGTTGAACTCATGTATTGTCACAACCACGGCTAGGAACCAAATTGAGTCGATCAAGTGGCGACAATGACACACACATGCCAGGGAGTAGGTTCACCACTTTCATCTTCCTTACCTTTTATAATTAGTGAATTTGAGTAACTTATAATGATTTCATTGTCATAAATTTGTAAGTCAAACTCTAGTATAAAAAATAAAATTCAAATTTGACTGAAGTTTATAATATTTCAATCAAATATTTTTAACTAAATTTAAATTATAAACTATATATTTAGATAATTTATTTAAAAATAAAATAAAAAAGCATAAATATAATATCAATAAAATATATTAAATGTTAAAAAACTATTTAAATATATATATATAACTATTTAAATATTAAATGTGTTGAAAAGTCAATAATTTGCCAATTGCTTTCAAAACTTTCGGTGAAAAGTTGGAAAAAATTAAATGCACCAAATGGATTTGGTGCAAAGGTCAAAAGTTACTGCAATTTGTTGAAAAAATGAAAGGAAAAATTACATAATTTAGTCCCTGTACTTTAGGGTATTTATAAATTTAGTCCTTAAGCTTCAACTATAAATACCCTAACCTATTTAGCTTCAAAATCATCTCAAATCATTATAGCTTTCTCCCAATACTAGAGAATTTAGAGAGTTTTCTTGAGAGTTATTTTCTCCCTTTTATCAAGAGAAAATTATAATTGTTTTCTCCTTGTTAGATCGAGAGAAGTTGTAATTCCTATTTTCTCATAGTGAAATTCTTCTACCGTTGCCCATGGTTTTTACCCTATATTATTTAGGGGTTTTCAACGTAAATTTTGTGTCTTCTTTATCTTCATTTTATTTTCTCAAATTATCAATTGCGATTTTACTCTATCCGATAACCGTATTCCGCAACAATTGGTATCATAGCCAGATCTGAGTGTGTAATATCTACTTATTGTCTTTGTGGTTGCCACCAAAAGGTGGATCCTCCAACAGAAGAAAGTAAGAAGATATTACTCATTCTTTGAAGGTTCCAAAGAACTATTCACAATTGTGAAATAATGGGAGCTATCCGTAATAAAAGCTATGGATCGTTATGAACCTGTCTCGGGATGATCTGTGTATAGTTGCAATGATCATGCCTTAGAGATTGTTGGCGTGGGAACCATCAAATTGAAGATATATGACGGAAAAATTAAAGTTGTTTGAGATGTACGACACGTGAAAGGCTTGAAGAAAAATTTATTATCCTACGGATTGTTGGATAATAATGCGAGCAAGATTGAAACACGAAAATGAATCATGAAGGTGTTCCGTGGAGCGCTTATTGTGATGAAAGGCGAAAAGATAGCAACAAACTTGTACATGCTGAATGGTGAGACTTTGCTAGAAGCAGAAGCCTCTGTTGCCACATGTAGTTTAGATTTTGCAATGATATAGCATCAGAAACTTGGACACATGTCAGAATAAGGAATGAAAGTCCTTGTGGAGCAAAAGCTACTTCTAGGCTTAACAAATGTATCACTTACTTTGTGAGAGCATTACATTACAAGTAAGCAGCACCGGTTGAAATTTAACACATCAAATTCTAGAGGCAAAAGTGTTCTAGAATTGGTTAACTCTAACGTATGGCAAGCACCAGTTACATCCCTAGACGGAGTAAAATACTTTGTCTCATTTATTGATGAATACTCCAAGAGATGTTGGGTGTACCCTATTAAGAAGAAGTCAGATATGTTTTCAACTTTTAAAAACTTCAAAGCGCGAGTGGAACTTGATTCTGGAAATAAGATCAAGTGTTTCATAACAGATAATAGAGGAGAATACACAAGTGAATAATTTGATGACTTTTGCAGTAAAGAAGGCATTAAAAGATAGTTCACAGTGGCGAACACTCCTCAACAAAATGGAGTGACAGAGCGGATGAACAGAACCTTATTAGAAAGAACAAGAGCAATGTTGATGGCTGCAGACCTAGAAAAATCATTTTGGGTAGAAGCAGTCAGTACTGCCTGTTATTTGGTGAATCGAGCTCCATCAACTGCAATAGAGCTGAAGACACCAATGGAAATGTGGACTGGTAAACCATTTGATTATTCAAACCTCCATATTTTTGGAAGTATTGTGTACATGATGTACAACTCCCAAGAAATTTCAAACTTCGATAAAAAATCCAAGAAATGCAAATTCTTGGGGTATGTTGATGGTGTAAAGGGGTATCGCTTGTGGGATCCCATTGCCTGCAAAGTGATCATCAGCAGGGATGTTATCTTTGTAGAAGATAAACTACAAAGAAAAGAAGACGATAATAGCACTAAAAAGTCATGGACTACTCAGATACATGTGGAAAAGGAGTTTGAACAAAGAGATTCTTCTGAAGCAGAACCAATACATGATGAACAAGAACTAGAGAGTTTTGAAGCTCCAACCACTCGTAAATCAGATCGTGTGAGAAGACGTCACAATTGACACTCAGATTATGTTATAGAAGGAAATATTGCATACTTCCTTTTAACAGAGGACGGTGAGCCATCAACATACCATGAGACAATAAATAGCTCAGATACTTCACTGTGATGATGGTGATGCAAGAAGAAATCGAAGCCCTTCATAAAAATAATACATGGGACATTGTGCCACTACCACAAGGAATGAAACCAATTGGTAACAAATGGGTTTTCAAAATTAAGCAAAATGGTGACAATCAAGTTGAGAGGTATCGTGCAAGACTGGTAGTCAAAGGATATGCTCAAAAAGAATGTATTGATTTCAATGAAATATTTTATCTTATGGTTTGACTAAGAATAGTTCGAGTAGTTTTGGCAATGTGTGCTATATTGAACTTACATCTAGAGCAACTAGATATTAAAACAACTTTTCTTCATGAAAATCTTGAAGAAGAGATTTATATGCTCCAGCCAGAAGGTTTTGAAGAATAAGAAAAGAAGAACTTGGTTTGCAGGTTGAACAATCTCTGTACAGTCTAAAGCAGGCGCCGAGGTATTGGTATAAGAGATTTGATTCCTTCATTATGTGCCTTGGATACAATAGACTTAATGCAGACCCTTGTGCTTATTGCAAGAGGTTTGGTGATAATGATTTTGTTATATTGCTATTGTATGTGAATGACATGTTGGTTGTAGGACCCAACAAAGATTATATTAAAGAATTGAAGGCACAACTGGATAGGGAATTTGAAATGAAGGACTTGGGATCATCAAACAAGATTCTAGGGATGCAAATTCACCGAGACAGAGGTAATAGGAAGATTTGGCTTTCACAAAAGAATTACTTGTAGAAGATCTTGTCACGATTCAACATGCAATATTGTAAGCCAATTTCTACCCCTCTTCCTATTAACTTCAAATTATCCTCCAGTATGAGTCATGGCAGTGAAGAAGAGAGGATGGAGATGTCTCGAGTATCGTATACATCGGCAGTGAGAAGTTTAATGTTAGTTATGATATGTACAAGACCAGACATTGCACAAGCAGTGGAAGTGGTTAGTTGGTCCATGGCAACCCAGGAAAAGAGCATTGGAATACAGTAAAGAGGATCATGAGATATATCAAAGGGACCTCAAATATTGCATTATGTTACGAAGGATCAAACTTACTAATAAATGGGTATGTAGATTCTGATTATGCAGGGGATTTGGATAAAAACAAATCTACTACATGATATGTGTTCAAAGTTGCTGGTGAAGCTGTAAGCTGGGTTTCAAAATTGCAGTCAGTTGTGGCAGAATATATAGCAACTACCCAAGCCAGTAAAGAAACAATCTGGTTGAAGATGTTATTAGAGGAGCTTAGGCACAATCAAGAGTATGTATCTCTATTTTGTGACAGTCAAAGCGCCTTGCATCTAGCAAGGAATCCAGCATTTCATTCAAGGACAAAGCACATACGAGTTCAGTTCCATTTCATTCGTGAAAAGGTAGAAGAATTGACTGTAGATATGCAGAAGATCCATACCAAAGACAACACAACAGATTTCATGATGAAGGCGATCAATGCTGATAAATTTACTTGGTGTCGATCCTCTTGTGGCATGTCAAAGACGTAAGCAACATGATGGTACAAGGTAGAAAGAATGGTGTGAAGATATGATTGTTCCAATCAAATCATCAAGTGGGAGATTGTTGAAAAGTCAGCAATTTGCCAATTGTTTTCAAAACTTTCGGTGGAAAGTTGGAAAAAATTAAATGCACCGAATGGATTTAGTGCTGTTGAGTTAATTGATCGACGGAATCGACCAAGAGGGGGTGAATTAGCAATAAAAAATTTTGGTGAAAGATTTTGAAAAAAATGAAAAATATTTGCGCAGCGATTTAGAGTGGTTCAACTTTCTCAACCAGAGTCTACGTCTACTACCTTAGCTATCCACACTAAGGATTTTCCACAAATTTACTAATTTGTCTTTCTTTTGAGGATAAAGAGTAACCTTACAAATCCCTCAAGAATTATACCCCAAATTCTTGAGAACACTCTCTCCCAAAGAGAACAATATAAATTTTGCAAACTTACAAGAAAATCCTCATAAGGAAAGATGTTTGCACAATTTTAGAATAAATAAAGAACACTCAAGAATAATACAATTAAGTGCAAGTAGTGTTCTTGAAAGCAAAATGAATATTGAATGAAAAATCGGCTTGAAATGCTCAAACATGAGGTTTGATGATTTCTCTTTGATTCTCTCTTTATTCTTGATAATTGTTGTTGATCAATGGCTCCTAAGCTTGTTTAAATA